GCTGCTCTAAACATTTGTGTGCAGGTTCTTGTGTGAACGGCTGCTCATTGCTCTCGCGTGGGCTCTCAGGAGTGGCATTGTTGGCCGTGTGGCCATGTATTGTTCAGCACTTGTGGAACTGCTTTCCGGGGTAGCCACCAGCAGTATGTGGGTGTCTGATTTCTCCCTGTCCTCTCCAACACCTGTTACCGTCTATCCATTTGGTTGTAGCTGACCTAATGACTATGAAGTTTCTCCTTGTGTGGGTTCTGAGTTGCATTTCCTTTGTTTTTTAAATAGCCCTCTTAAAAGTATAAAATCCACTCTAGTTTGAGGGCAGAACAAAAAACTGGCCAAGTGCCCGATGTGGACCCCAGGACGTAGTTTAGTGACCCGGGTAGTTCATGGGATTTAGATGGAGGCTCCCATGAGCCCCCTCGGCAGTGGCACCCCCCAGCCAGGGCCCCGCTCACCTGGAGGGATGCCCTGTGTTCCAGATCCAGTGTAAGCTGTTTGTCTTTGACAAGACCTCTCAGTCCTGGGTGGAGAGAGGCCGGGGGCTGCTCAGACTCAACGACATGGCTTCGACTGACGACGGGACATTGCAGTCCCGACTAGGTGAGTGGCAGTGGGGCCCCTGTGGGGAGGGCCTGGATTGGTGCAGAGCTCTCACGGCGGTGAAGGGTGAGACCCAAAATCGGCCCCTCAACCCAAGGAGCAGGAAAGCGGGTCCCCAAGGCAGAGCCCCCAGTATCCACACTCATGTCTGACCCAGAGGATCCACCCGCCAGCTCTGCCACTTTCTGGGTTTGAAAGTGGATAAAAGTACTTAGCAATTTTTATACTTATTTTCCAATCATGAAAGTACCCACTGTTTTATGGTAGAATGGGAAAAGAAATTAAACATGCACAGCAGTGTCTTTATAGAGAGAGAATTCTCTGCCAACAGTGCTGTGGCGGTCCGCTCTTGCTCTGTGGTCCTTCTCTAGGGGAATGGGGCGACTGTACTCTGCTCTCTCCACTCGCTGTGTGGAGAGCATGTTGCTGTGTCGGTAAATCTGTCTTAGAACCTCGACTGTTTGGGAAATTGTTACAGTAATGTATCTGTTGACAGTGAGTGTGTGTCACCATTTCCCTGTGAGGGACATGCAGCTTTTCCCTGATTTTTCTATCAAGAATGATGCTCTGGGACTGTCTATTCATAAATCTTATTCACAGCAGTATGCTGGTTGCAAATGTGTGTGTGTGTGATCTTCCCAAACTAAAATTACCCTCTGGCCCTTACAGAGACAGCAGTTTCGGGCCCACTAGTAGCTCACATTGCATCCTTTCAGGATTGACCCCAAGATTGGAACAGGGATGAAGAAGACCCTTTTGTTTGGGCCCGTTCTTTTCCCCATGGACATCCCTTTTCCGTTTTTCTTAGGGAAATGTTCGAGTGTGTGTGGACGGAGAGAGCACAGTGTTTCCAGCCCCACTGCTCAGCACCCGCCTCCTCGGGCTGCAGCCGGGGGCCCGCTTTGTTGCATCACGCCCTCGCCTCCCTCACTGGGATCCACCCCGGGCACCCTTTCCTTTCACCCCCCACCCAGTCTTTGATCCTTGTCACAGCCCTTCCCTCCAAGCCCGTCTGCATTGCTCTGCTGCGTCAGAGGTGGGCACTTCGGGCTTGCAAGGCTAGGCTCAGAGGACGCAGTCAGCAGGGTCCCAGGACCCCACAGGGCTCCCTAGGTTGGCCCAAGCTGCTCCCTGTCCTGTGTGGCCCTCTGTGGCCCAGAATGGTGTGACACCTAATCCTCTTCAGGCCTGTTCCAATGGGGAAAGCTGGGCTGGCAGGCAGGCGAAGGTCACCTGTGTCTGTGGGGTCAGGGCATGGGTGGGCTGGGAGGGCTCTGACAAGCGAGCAGGTTGGCTGTGGCCTTGGACTTGCTACGAGTAGAACTAGGAGTGTCATGTGTCCGTCCAGAGAGGGGAGATCTGTGCCCAGTTTGTCTCTGCCATATGCTTCCCTCAGTCTATCTCCTTCCCATTGGAAGCTCTGAGCACGGTGTGGCCTCAACCCTATTTTCTTAAGGGTTTGTTTATTTATTTTTAGAGAGGTGGGGAGGGAGGAGAAAGAGAGAGAAACATGGATGTGAGAAACATTTATTGGTTGCCTCTCACATGCACCCTGACCAGGAATCAAACCGGCAACCATTTGCTCTGTGGGACAGTGCCCAACCAACTGAGCCACACTGGTTAGGGCAGCCTCAACCCTTTTTCCTAAGAAAACCACAGGGCAGGGGCTGGGACTTGGCCTGTGAGGGGCGTCAGCTTCCATGTGACACGTGTCGCATAAAGTGTGAGTGTCCCCAGTGTGCAGCCCTTGAATGTCCCTGTCTGGCTCTGCCTCCTTGTAGTTTGCTTCCTGCTTCTGCCTAATCACCCCATTCCACAAGGGAGCTACCATCCTGGCACATGATGTGTGAACCAACAAAACACTCTTACACGTGGGCTCTGACCCCGCCGGTGGCCTTGGTGGTTCTGGCCTCGGGAAGCCAGGTTGTGGTACCGGGCCAACCCCAGCATGTGGATGGCTGTAGCTCAGTGGGTAGGTGGGTGGTTTTCATGGACTTTGGTGGAGAAGTGTGGGGTTTTGCCCTTGAAGTTTGCTTTCCTTCCAAGTTGTGTCTGTTCTAGCTGGCTGTTGGGTGGGGGTTGGGGACCAGGGCTGAGTGGCCTTGTTGGTTGCAGTGATGCGGACCCAGGGTAGTCTGCGGCTAATCCTCAACACCAAGCTGTGGGCCCAAATGCAGATCGACAAGGCCAGTGAGAAGAGCATTCGCATCACAGCTATGGACACCGAGGACCAGGGTGTGAAGGTCTTCCTGATCTCGGTGAGCAACCTGGGGGCAGCGACCCCAAGCCACCACAGGAGGGAAGCCCCTCATCACATGCAGTCAGTCACCACAGGGCTGGATGGATGGGTGCCCCTCTGCAGGGGAGCACTCAGCACTGCCCTAAGGGCATGGGCCAGGGAAAGAGCAGGGAAGCCTCTGGGTGGGCCCGTGCCCAACACGAGAGGCAAGAATGCCGCTGTCATGGAGGGCTCGCCGAGCCACAGGCTCTGGGAGCCCCTTGAGTGGCGGGCTCCGGGCTATGGAAGCTTTGGTCCGTGGGCCCCAGGTTGAGGAGAGCCCCAGGGGTAGTCTCCCCCTGAGGCCTTGTAACCAGCAATTCCTCCGCCCTCCCGGCCCCACCAGGCCAGCTCCAAGGACACTGGCCAGCTGTATGCGGCCCTGCACCACCGCATCCTGGCCCTGCGCAGCCGCGTGGAACAGGAACAGGAGGCCAGAACACCTGCCCCTGAACCTGGTGCAGCCCCATCCAACGAGGATGACAGTGACGATGACGATGTCCTCGCTCCATCGGGGGCCACAGGAGGCGGTGAGCCAGTAGTCCCTGCCCTGAAGGGCATGAGGTGGCTGGTTTCCTAAATCCCATCACCCATTGCCACTGACCAAGGGTGACATCATGGTGTGGCCTGACCCTGGGGGATGGGGGTGCTTTCCAGAGTGGGGACCTGATGGCAAGGCCACTGCTTCCCACAGGTGCTGGTGACGAAGGGGACGGGCAGACAGCTGGGAGCACATAGCGCCGGGAGCTGGCCGCCCGGGAGCCTGCTGCTTTGTCCGTCTGTCCACCCGCCCGCCCGCCCCTCCCCAGCAGTGTTGAGGCGCGGGGCTTGGGAACCACACTCCCCGATGGGTTGGCCACAGTCCGGATCCGCACGGCCCGTTCAGAGGCAGACTTGGGAACTGCCTGAGCGTGGTTTGGGACACGAGACCTCATCATATTGATGAGCAAAACAAAAAGAACATTTCTTCCCTCCCCCCTTTGAATTGAAATGGCACATTAAGACTTGTCACGGCTTCTCACTGGGACTGGGACGCCTGGTTTCTTCACCCCTCTCATGCCACCACCACACCTGTGGGTTCCTGCCACCTGCCCAGCTACCAGGTCTGTCCCCACAAGTGTAAACACTGGCTCTGCTGGACGTCCTGCTACCATCTTGACCTCGTTTCCCCCCTTCTGGTTTGGGGGTGTGTATTTTTAATGCCCCCTCCCCCCAAGCCTTCGTTTTGGTCTCTTAGGTTAAGATGCTCCCGTGTGTTGACCCTTGCTCTCCCTGTGGTCACAGCTTGTGTGCTAGGGCCTCACCAAGGAGCTGGGCCCCCACTTGCTCCCTACCTGGGGTTCCTCCAGGCTGCTGTGGGGCTTTGAGGGGTAGACCTCATGCCTGGAGAGAATTTATCTAGAAAAGGGCCACTGGATCTAGGAGGACATGAGGGGCTGATTCCCTAGATCCTCTCACACCCACTGCTGTGGGCCCGAGGGTGATTTCTTGGTGTGGAGGCCTGACCCTGGGCACAGGGTGCCTTCCACAGTGAGGACCTAATGGCGAGGCCACTGCTTCCCATGGGCGTTGATGACGAAGCCGGAAGCACAGAGCACCCCTCCCCTCCTGCTTGTCCCCATCATGTGGGTCACCCATCACTAGGCACCCAGGCAAGCACCTGCTCCCTGCTGTTGGCCATTCCTTGCCCAGCCCTGGACATCACCGCACCCAAGACATCCAGGGCTTGGGGCCTCCATGACAGGCAGAGGAAGTCCCTAGCAGCACCCTCCTGAGGAGGGGCAGGGCCTGGTTCCAGATAGCAGGCTGCCATCCCGGCGCGCACAGGAGCAGGTGCCATGCCCCCGCCCCAGAGCAGGGCTGAGATCCCAGCTGGGCACCGCCTGCCTGCAGAGAAGGTCCCTGTGCACGGGCCCTGAGGGGTTTCAGAAGAAACTGCCCTGCCCGACCCTCATGGGGAGGGAGAAGGCTTAGTTTCTGCAGCCATGCCACCAAAACCTTGGTTCGACCGTGCGCAGCCCGAGCCCGAGCTATGGGAAGACACCAAAGGTCCCCAGCAGATCTAGTCACCTTTCTCTGCTTACGCCTTAGCCAGTTAGTGACAAGTAAAACCAGATAATGCCCATGTGTTTTGGAACATTTATGTAAGATTGTCATATGAAATGTATTTGGGAACTACATTAAATCTTTTAACTAAACACCCTGGCCTCCTGTGTGCCCCAGGGGCATCAGGAAGCCCGAGGGCCTGGCCAGGAATGGCCTCTGCCTCCCAGGCAAGGCTCCTCGAGCAGCCTGGCCTGCCTGCTGCCCTGGGCCTACCCCACACTCCAGGCCTGGACAGGCCACCCAACTCAGCTGCCTTCCAAGCCCTGCCACTTCAGTGCAGAGCCTGTTTTCTTGCCCACCCCCACTACATTCTCACACACCCTGCAAGGGTCCTCCCGGCTTCCCAGGGGCCACAAGGGAGGGGCACAGTGGGGTGCTAACAGGCCAAGGATTCACTAAGCAGGACAGGGCTTGAGGGGGGAGGGCATCCGAAGTAGCCTCATGAAGCCTAGGGGCCTTTGTTTTGCCTGGACCTCATGACCAAGCAAGGGCCTCTGAGACTTGGACCAACCAGTTCTGTGGCCTCAATCCTCCCAGCCCCCACCCCTGGGGCTGCCCAGCTGGACACTTGGGTGCCGTGGTGGGGGTTGTATGCCACTGGGCCGGCTGGCTGAGTGAAGGCACCGCTCACAGTCGCCAGGCACTGGTCATCATCGCCACAAACTCCTCATCCGTGTCCATGGAGGCGCTCACACCACTGTAGTAGTCCTGGAATTCGGCCAGGGTGACCTGGGGGCAGACAGGCTCTGAGTGATTGTGGACAGCCAGGGCAGGAGGAGCTGGGAGCACCCTGTGGGCACCTACCTGCCCGTCCTTCTCAGAGGAGGAGTCGAAGTTGTCCAGGAAGCGGCGGAGTACCTCCTCCTCAGTCCACTCCCCACTCCGCACCTTGGGGTGGGCACGGCAGCTGTACACCCCCCGGAGGTCATCCACAGTCACCACGCCATCTCCACTGCGGTCTAGCTTGGCAAATGCAGCTGCAATGACTGCTTCCCGGGCCTGGGACATGGGGGGCTGAAGCGGGGAGGGTGATGACAGAGACCCCAACCTCTCCAGGCACAGAATGCAGAGTTCAGGGGGTCCTCAAGCAGGCATTGCTTAGTGATGAGTCCCTGGGTGTTGACACGAGTAAGCCCCCTGGGCACTCAGCACCCACCGTCCCCCAGATAGCTGGGTGAAGGGACCTGCCCCAGTCAGCCGGGCCTCACCCGCAGCGCCCTCAGGAACTCCTCCAGGTCCAGCGTTCCACTGCCATCACGGTCCCAGCGCCTGCACACGCCCTCTGCCTCAGCCATGTCCAGCACCAGCCCCAGCTCAGCCAGGCCCTGCTGGAGCTCCCCCGCATCCAGGGATCGGCTCTTGTCCTGGTCCAGGCGGCGGAAAAACCTGGGGAGCAAGGGGTGCGGTTGGAGAGTGGTCCCTGGGGTTGAGTGGCCAGGGAGGAGTGAGGGGACAGCTCACCTGGCCAGGCCCTGGATGCCAGAGGCCCCTCGGGACAGGCACTGTTCCCGGAGTTTCTCCATAGTGGCGTCCACCGTGTCCATGCTAGGGCCAGGCTCTCTGGGCAGCTGGGTGAGAGAGCGGTCGAGCGGGTTGCCTGCTCGGCCAGCCAGCCACACTGGGCGCCCCTACTCACCACCTGCCCTTGTCTGTCCCGGAGCTCTCCCGATGGCCACTCTGCTGGCTCCTGCCTGTTCTGCCCAGTGTTGGCAGGATTGTTGCTAAGGGACAGTGGCTCTGGAGACTGGGAGGGGCCCCAGCTGTAACCCTGACACTGCCGGGAGGCAGGGCCAGAGGACAGAGCAGCACCATCACCAGCACCCCTGCCTACCCACTGTGCTGCTCATGCCCAGCCCAGCACTGCAGTGTTCAGGTCAGGGGCAGAGCCAGAGCCAGGCCCAGGCCCAGGGCGGGCAGTGGGGTCTCTGGTCACAATGAGGAGGGGTGAGCCACAGCCCTGCAGAGGCCAGTGTCCTGGATGGAAGGAGGCTAAAGGTCTAGTTCCTGTGTGACCTGAGACAGGTCCCCTCCCCTCTCTAGGCTTCGCTGGCCCCCTACCCCTTTTCACAGGGCAGCAGCCAAAGCTGCTAAGGGATTTGAGTTCAAAAGGACTGGAGGTGGCCCAGGCCCACATGCAGTGAGGTCCTGAGGCCAGTGTTGTCTGAGCCAGGACACAGCAGAGTAAAGCCCCACAAAGCGGTTTCTGGTGGTTATCTAGGGGCCGGTGACAGTGTTTTGTGTTGTATGAGTCTTTGGGTGGTTGGTTTTCAGTTCTCAAACATTTGATGGGCTTTCTTGTGACAAGCTGGTGAGCCAGGGGGCTACGGTATCAAACAGAGAAGTGGCCCTGACCCCTGTGACATAATCCAAGAGGAACCCAGGCCACCCTCACAGGTGGCCTTCAATCCAGACTTTGGACAACTTTACCAACTGAGAGCATGGCACTGACCAGCAGGATCAAAAAGAACGTTGATCTCCCAGGACTGAAAATGTGGTTCCCACTTGGGGACCTCCCCGCCTACACAGACCCAGAGATCGTCAGAGGTTTTTCAAAGCTTGGTCATGCACACAGCACAGCGACGTGCTCAGGAGTCTCTGCCAATCATGGGTGACGACCGACCCAGCGCTGCGATTCAGGACACAGCTGATGTCACACTGTCAGCTCTGGAAAGCCACAGTGACATTCTGCTGCACAAATTCCAATGGCTTATTGTAGTCCAAAATTCTTTGGGTAGGCAGAGAAATACTGCATTGCATTTTTTAACAAGTGTTAACAATCATCATTTTTTTTCTATAGAAAATGTAAAATCTAACCACAATTATTGTAGCTGTTTGACACCTTTAACAGTAACTCCTCCATAAATTGGTAATGGCCCAGGCTCTCCTGACCCTGGGGCCTCTTCACTTCACCTTTGAGTCTCACTCTCCCAGCTGTGAAATGGGGCAAGCCTGTGTCCATGGTGGCTGCAAAGATTAGACACAGTTGTGTGTGTGTGTGTGTGTGTGTGTGAGAGAGAGAGAGAGAGAGAGACTGCCCATGGCACAAGCTCCAGTGACTAGGACAAGCCTCTGGCCAGCAGGGCTGCTCCCTGGACCACAACCCACGCAGGGGCCACCTCTCCAGCACCCCCACGTGGAAGAAAGGAAGAAGGACCAAGGAGGACAGATCACCCCATTTATTCTTGAGCAGACAGGCCCCAGCCTGCCTTCCCTCAGACAAACAGCCCCGCTTTCTTATTTATCCAGAAGAGAAAAATAGGGCTATTGTTACACACGGAGGGGTCAGTGTCAGATGCCAGGCCCACAGCCGGCTCCATCCTGAGGATGTTGATGGATGCCAGCCTTTCCAGGATGAAATAGGCCCTGCCCCACCGCAGTTCCTGGTGTGACAATTTCCTGAGTGAGTAAGGAGGTGGGGAAACAGCTCAGGCTAGGCACTTAAGTGGGCTAAGAAAGGCATGGGGGTCCCCTGGCTTGATAAAAAGCAAAACTGCCTGAATGTCTCAGGCCAAGAGAGGGCAGTGTAGGAAAAAGGAGTTAAAAAAATAGATTCTCTGGGGACTGTAAAAAAGGAGCCAGCTGCCTACTACAAAAGCTGGACTAGTAGGGGTGGGGCAGGGGCTGATCAGAAGTGCTGGGGGCCCTTCAGGGCCCTTCAGGCCCCACAGACCCATCCTGTTCCTGCTGGGGCCTGGAGTGCTCCAGGCTCTGGTGACAGAAAAACCCTGCCCTCCTGGAGCTTACATCCTGATGGTAAGTTCTGTAAAGAAAAATAAATGCAATGGTAGTGACCAGGGGTGGGGAGTAACTCAGGTAGTCAAGGGGAAAGCTTTCTGAGGAGGTGCCATCAAAGCAAAGACCTGAGTGGCAAGGAATCAGTCATGTGACACCCAGGCAAACATTCCAGGCAGAGGGTGCAGCCAATGTAAAAGCCCTGAGGCAGCAAGAAAAGGTGAAGGGATGCCTGAGTTTTCCCTGGCAGCAAGGCCTGGCTGCCAGCACTCACACACCCCACACACTGCCCTCTGGGTTAAAGGTTGAGGGTATAGGACAGTTAGGTAAAGAACATCTAGGACTAAAAATGTGTCTTCAAAATAACTAATGCAAATGGCATGGAGCTTGAAGCTCTTAACTCTGGTCTGGGATGGAGTAAGAAAAAGCTTTAGCCTGGGATGGAGAATGCTTCTCAGGAAGGAAGAACAAAAATCAGGGCTTGGGGTGGGAGGTGGGCGGTAAGAAAAAGTCTAATAATGTGGAACTTTGTCATCTGCCTCTACCAAAGAAAGAGAGGTCTCAAATTCAGATGCCTCAGGGCCCAGAGAGACGAGGGCACTAATTAATAATTTACAATCTGGCTAAAGAGAGTATTCTGGGTTCAGAGCCAGCAGGCATGGCCAAGTCTGAAGCCAGATATCCAGATTTTTGTGTGTAAACATGGCCATTTTTTCAACAAGGATAATTGGTTTAAAGTTTTTTAAAAAATGGCTGGGCTAAACATTTTTCATTTGGTCTGCAAGCTACCCCTTGGAAACCTATGACTTTTTAGCAGGTCTGATGCTTAGAAAGGATTATGGCTCTGCAGGAGGTTCCCTCTGGCAGTGATGACACACCCCTCCCTCCCCCCAGGACACCCACAGCAGTGGAAAGTGTCCATGGGCATCCTCTGTCTCCATTCTGCAGTCAGTCTCCTCTGGGGCTCACACAGTGGTCCCAAACACTGCTGGCTGGAGGTGGTCCCTGTCCCCCTCCTTCCCAGTGCTATTGGCAAGGAGTAAACTGGACTCGCCAGAGAGTGGGTGGCCAGGGTCACTGGCTGGCAGGGGACCCAGGCGCTCGGCCCCAGCCAGGGATGCCAGCAGCCCAGCCAGGGGTGGCCGCCAGCGGCACATGTCCTGCAGCAGCTCGGCCCGGGGCTGCAGCTGCTTGATGAGCTTGTCCCTCTGGTGCACGGCAGCCTGCAGGCTGTGGACAGTGGCCTCGGAGGTCAGCAGCTGCTCCTGGAGAGCCGCAATCTCACTGGCAGGAAAACAAAACTTGGTAGTAATGGTACCAGGGGACCAGAGGTTTTCCTCTCCCTACTCGTGACCTCTGGGGCTCCCACTCCCCATCGTTGTCAGGATAAAGGTGATGCTTCTCTCCGCTGCCTCAAGGTCTCCCCATATGATCAAGGTTGTGTCCTCCCCAAATTACTATGCTGAATTCCTCCATCCCAGAGTGATATTTGAAGGTGGGGGCCATGGATGAAGTCATGAAGGTAGGATCCTCATGATGAGATTGGCACTCTTACAAGAAACACCAGAGTACTCTCCCTCCTCCCCAGCTCACCCATCCCCTCCCCTGAGCATGCAATAAGGTGACCATCTGGAAGCCAGGAAAAGGGTCCTCACCAGGAACTGAATTTGCCAATACCCTGGTATTGGACTTCCCAGCCTCCAGAATGATAATAAATGTTTGTTGTTTACAATGCCCAGCCTGTGCAAACTCATGGCTCTGCTCCCCCAGCTCTTCCTGCAGTTCCTTCTTCCCCTATATCTTTTCCTGTTTTGTTCAGCTTAGATGGCTGCTCCTCCAGGAAGCCTTCCATCTGCGTCCTCCAAGAACCCTGTGTGCACCACTATCAAACCCAGATCACCCCATGTTGTAACCACCTAGTAATGTGTCTGCCTAAAGGCAGAGCTGTGTAGACGTGCCCCAGTACCCAGCAGTGTCTGGCACACAGTAGGTGCGCAGTATAGATAAATGAATCCAACCAGCTCTGAGTTAATTGTTTCCCACATGGGCCCAAGTACTTCCTTGGGCACTTGTCTCATCTTTTTCAACTGTCAACTGCTAGAGTGACTCCAAAACTTCCGATAGATCACATCCTCCTCTGTTCAAGCACCTGCCTTGGCTCCCAATATCTGCTCCAGGAGGTCGGTGGCCCCTGCACCACTCACTACCAGCTGGTTTTGCCTTGTGGGAAACTTGTAAGTTAAAAATCCACATGTGTGTGACATCTCTTTATATACCGATGACTAATTCAAGGTTTTTTGGTGTTTGTTTTTTCAATCCCTCCAGTAGTCTAGCCTCCACGTGAATGCATTCAGTTCCCCCTGCCAGCATTCCCTTTCCAAACTCGACTCCGCCTCCGCCCACCTCCACCTAGTTCACCTGGCAGGCCCCGGGCCTCACCGATCCTTGGTGCAGCCCAGCTCGTCCAGGGCAGCGCGCAGCTCCTGGTCGTGGTGGGTCAGGCGCTCGGCCTGGGCGCGCACCGTGCGCTCCGCCGCGTCCAGCCGCGCCTCCAGCTCCGCGACGCGTCGGTGCACCGCCACCAGGTGTGCATTCGCCTCGCGGATCTGCAGGGGCGGCGGGGCGGACATGACCCCCGCGGTGGTTCAGGCCCCAGCTGCCCGGAAGGGCCACGCCCCCAGAGGTCTGTTCAGAACCTTGACGCCATTGGCCACAGTCAACTGGGTGGTGCCCTCCTCAAGCCCAACCACTCTGACTGATTCCGGGTTCTCGAAACTCCGCCCCTCGGGCCCAGTATTCTCCAGCGGCACGCTCAGTTCAGGCTCTGGCAATGGGATTGGTCGCCCTGCTCAGGAGCTAAAACCAGGATTGGTCCGGATTCTGCGACCGATCAAACCTGAACACGTCTCTGGAATCGGCCGCGCTTCTCCCAGATCCCCACGATTGGCCATGTCCACACCCCTTAGGCAATCGTATAGCTCTGGGTTAGTCAAGTCCCCTGTAAATTATGTCTCTGGTCTTTGCCTACGCCCCCAAGCGTAGTCTGTACTTCATCTGGCGCAGAACTTGGACAAGACAGAAATTGGGTACAGGCCGTGTCCCTCTAAGATCCTAGCTCTAGGGTTGGTCCCTTTCCCGTCAAGCTCCGCCCCCAGTCCTGGCCACGCCCCAAAATAGTCGCACGCGGTTCACATTCCGACCTGGGGAATGGCTACAGTACGTGACCACGCCCCCACACAAAGTCTGACGCGGGAAGTGGCCACATTCCTGCTGTGCCCGGCCCCATGCTTACCTCTTGCTCCTATCAAGCTCAGTACTGCCCCGTCCTAGCCCTAATCTGTGCCTGGCGATATGCCTAGTACCTACTGTAGTGCAGTCCTTATGTTAGGCCCCACCTCCCGGAGTCAAATCATTCCTAACCTAGGACCTTCTTAGCTAGAACTAGTGAAATCTGCCTTCACTGATCTTCGTTGACTTCAGTTTCCCCCTCCAGAAATAGTCTGGGGGTACACGCGCTCTTCCTTTACGCCAGTTCCGAACTCGCTGCGTGCGCGCAACCCACAACCATGGTGGCGGCACTCAATAAAGTTGCACACTTGTTGCGGGCCTTTCCGCAAGGGATGCTGCGCGCGCCGCCTAGGAAGTCTCGCGATAGCGAGCGGCTGCCCTTGGCCGCGGAGGGCCGCAGTTTGTGTAGTTCGGGACTGTGTGTGTAGCCATGGCGCGGGCGTATATTCAGCGGTATTGGGACATCCCCGATGGCACCGAGTGTCACCGCAAGGCCTACCTGAGCACCAGTATCAGTGGTGCCGTTGGTGAGCTCCGGCTGCCCGTCCCCGAGGGCGGAAGGTGGAAGGGGGTCACAGGGTCCCTGGGGGCTGAGGGTGGCTTGAGGAACTGGGACCTCGAGGTGGGGGTAATATGGTTGCTGTCAGGGTTTCTGGGGAGGCTCTGGGACGTTAGGGAGCTCCTGTGTGAAATAGACTTTGTGGGGTTCGGGCTAATTCAGAAGGCACAGGGAGGTCAATGGGGTCAATGGGAGCAATTCAAGAGGGTCACATCGGAACTGGGGATCACGCGGGACGGTACGTGGCACTAGACGGGGTGTCTGGGGTGGTCATGGGGAACTCTTGTGTGAGAGACGTTTTGGGAGGGGTGGGGGAACGGTCTGGCAGGGTTGCAGGGCACCTGAAGGTGGTGATACATGTTACAGGCTAGCCACTGGGATTATTAGAAGCCGTCTGGGTGCTGGAGTTGGCTGTTTAGAATTCACGGAGTGGGACAGGGACATTATCGGGGTCAGAGGAGCTGCAGGGTATGGGTTATTACTGGTTATTACTGAGTGGGTAATAATGTGAGAAAGTTCTGGAGTGGGATGAGATCTTTATAGGACCCAGAAGAGTTGGGTGGTCAGGGACATCTGTTTTATTGGGCCCACCAGAGGGACCCTAGGGGTGCTGAGGAGATCGTAGGTTAAGTGAGTCAGGGACTGCAATAAGACAAGCCTTTGGGGCATGAGGGGACCCACAGCACTAGCATTCCCCTGCAGAAGAGACCCCTGCTGGTGCCTTTTCATTCTCAGTGTCCTTGAGAAGTACATGTGTGGGTTTTGGCCATCTCCGTATCTCCATCTCCTGAAACAGGGCCTGGCAGAAGCTGAGCCTCCCCTGGGAGGTGTTTGCACTTAGGTAGGCCTAATTAATAATCGCTATCACTATCTGCATGTTTGGTGAGACCATCATCATCTCCATTTTTCAGCGGTGGAAACTGAATGTCAAGGAGGTATATTAGCTGCCTCGGGGGTCTTTTGAAGCCAGGCTACAAATCTCCTGGGGGGGGGGGGCGGGTTGGGGCAAGGAATGTGTGCACAGGGCCCTTCTGGAGGATGGTGACCAGAAAGAGCTGAAGAGAGTCCCATGGGACGGATTCTGTAGAGCCTGCTGGAATGGCAATTTACTGGGACAGTTCAGGATATGCGGTGGGGTCTCCATGGGGGCACTTGGCCCTGACAAGCTGCGAAGCATGGGGTCAGGTCACTATAGGAAACGTTATTCTGGGGAACGCTTGTGGGGAGATGCTGACATTGGCTAATGCCCGAAGGGTCGAGGTTGTGTTTCAGGAACTTGACGCGGGGGGGTCTGCCGAGGGGTGTGGGGGGCTTTCAGGGAGAAGGTTTGAAGAAGTAGATGCTTTAGGGCAGAGATTTTCAACCTTTTTCATGTCGCGGCACACCAAAAAAATTTTTTTTGCTGGTCTGGCAAAAAAAAAAAAAGGTATAATTTTTATTCATTCACACTGGATAGCTGTTGTTGTGTTGGCTGTTGTCATTTTTTAATTCAACGGTCTAAGGGGAAAGAAATCAGTTCCCCTGACTGAACAGTCAGGTATTGCATGGTTTAAAAACCCTTGGAACACACAGTGTGCCTGCCACAGCAAATTGGTTGGCAATCACTGCTTTAAGGGGTTTTGAAACTGAGAAGGACATCAGCGCCTCTTTTGTGAGGGGGAGTGTGCTCTCACTGGCCAACACCGTTAAAAATGCAAAACTTGGCTCAAACATGCTCCTGGGCCCTCGCTCACCTGCCCACTCCTTCGTTCCCTGTCTCCCCACAGCCCTCACAAGAGAACAGGTTTCATGTTTGGCTTTCCTGAGCTGCTTAGCCCTGGGAGGGAGCCCTACTGCCAGCAAAGCCCAGCATCTTATAGGTCCACTGTAACTATTTTGGAAGGAAGGAAGACAGTAACTATGAATGAATGAATGAATGAATGAATCAGGGCACACAGTAACCATGTGACTGGATGAATTTTTGAATGAATTGTTGTGGGTACACAGTAACTGTTTGTGAGAGGGTGATGAATGGACCAGGGCCCTGGGTAGCTGAAAGAATGAGTGGATGTGGGTACACAGTAACTGAGGAATGAATGAAGGATGGCACACAGTAACTGTAAATAGATGAAAGAATGAATGTGCCCTGTGTCCTGAGGTCACCATGGGAGGCTGAGAGGAAGCCGGGGGCAGGCCGAAGGTTGGAGAGGGGGCAGTGGAGGTGCTGGGAAAGGTCTGAGGCAGAGATCCTCCTGTGCTGGGGGTCAAAGCACGTGAGGATTGAGCTGGTTCCTACAGGGATGGGCTGTGGCAGGTCACCTCATGGATGACTGCTGGGGGAGAGTTGGGGTAGAGCAGTCTTGACCCAGGGTAATCAGGGGTCTCTTGGGTCATTCACTCCCAGTCCAAGGGCTTCTAAGGGCCCGTAGGATGGTAGGGGCACTCTCTGTGCCCAGCACGGCCAGGACCACAGGCATATGGGATGGGGTTGACAGGGTGACCCCCAGGGCTCACTGCGCGACTGAGTTTGGGGACATCGCTGACTCTCGTCAATGGTTCCCCTTCAGGGGGTCCTAAGACCCTTGTTCCTGGCCCAGCTCCTGAGATCAAGACTCCCTAGGTCCCAGGCAGGCCTGGGAGCCCCTCCAATTAAGTCTCTAGAAGGGGTGGGGGACCATGCTCGGAACTCCGTGCTGGAGGGAAGTCCTTGCCGAGCTGCAGCAGTGTGGCCCCGCTCCCCCGCGCAGCCTCTAGCCTCTCTGAGCTCAAGTGGGGACACAGGTTTGTCATGAGACCACCTGGGAAAAATGAGATTTGGGGGGTCTGTGAACAGGTGCCAAGCACATGAGAGCCCTCTTTTTTTTTGTAGTGGATAGTGTGACATGTAACATTGTGTGAATTGAAGGCATATTAGGGCCCTCTTTATATGTGGCTGTTTTCCCGTTGTCCCCAGGCCGCAGTTTACCCATCTGGAAGTGAGGTGGCAGTCCGGGCCCTTCTCACGGTTGCTCTGAAGATTAACCCCACAGTCCAGAGTGAAAAGTCCCCCACAGCGATTCCAATGAGCTGCGTTCAAGCCCAGGCTGGGGTGGGAGGCGCTACTCAGCCTGGAAGGCCCCATGGGTGGGACCGGAGAAGCTGGAGGCTTGGGGACTGGGGTGAAACCCGCCCCCGGGGCTGTGGTGAGAGGTAGGCCATGGCCCTAGGGACCCGCCTAGCTTCCAGACTGCTCTACTTGGTGACCTCAGGCTGAGGCTACTCCCCTCCCATGAAGCAACAGATACAAGGGTGCTAAGCCCCCTGGGCCCCGAGGAGGGTGAGTGGGTCAGTAGCTGTGCGTGCCACCTGTCAGGTGACAATTCTGTTTTGCCTGGGATGAATGGGCTGGCCCAAGGGGTCCCTGCTGGCAACTAGGCAATGCTGGGGGTCAGTAGGGAAAGGAGAGGTGTGTTGTTGCCCTGAGCAGTGTCAGCTGGAGGGTGGGGGGGGCCCTTGTTAGGCTGTTCTGGTAACAAGCAGCCAGCCAGGTAGGCCCTCATCTGGCCATTCCCTGAGGGGGGTCTGGTGGGAGAGGCTGCCCATGAGCCTGCCCCAGCCCAAACCTGACTCCAGACCCAAACGTTGGCCCATACCCGTGCTCACTCCAGATGCTCCGGGACAGCATCTTGGTTCTTGCCACCCACTGACACTCGGCTTCAGGCTCAGCCCCTACTCGGGCCCCTCGTGCATAAAAGCCAGTGTCAGGGTCAGGGTGGCCAGGCCAGTGGCAGAGATGGAAAGGCTGACAGCAGTGTCAAGGCTAAGTGGGTGTGGGCAGCCAGCCCAGTGTGAGGGACAGGCCCAGGCGGGAGCTGCCGGTGGGGAGGGGGCCGTGGGTAGTGATGAGGAGGGGTTGGCGGTTCTAGGAGCCACGCCTTTGCCAAGGAGGATTAGGCCAGGGAGCCCCAGGCCCACAGGAGAACAGAACCTTTGATGGGAGCAGAGCCTGGGTGCCAGGGGCTCTGGGGACGCAGCTGTGGTAGCTGTGCCTGCTCTCAGCTGGTGGCAGCCTGGCCATGGAGGCTCCAGCCCCGTCTTTATGTCCTCTGCATGCTGGACTGGTGCCCTGTGGTGGGCCCATGAGGGTGATGGGGACCCAGGCAGGCCTTCTGCCCGAGCTGGCCTGGCTAGACCTTGGGAGCGAAGCCT